GCTCAGTAGAGGATGTTGCAGATTTTACTTCCTGTCAGTTGTATTGTATCAGGCTTCATACGGAAAGATTGCTGTCCCTAACTACTAGAGATTCAGACGTAGCTCAAGCTTAGAGCCAGATGGAATCTCTTTGTTTCACTCTGAACCATTAGTAGGGCTCCAGGGTGAACTGTTCTCTCATAGACATGTGCAAACTCTTTTTTCCTTTATCAGATTGCAAACAGGCTCAAAACCTTGAGAAATTACTACAAGAATGATATATGAAAAAGAAAGAAACCACAGGAAAATATGCATGTGCACATTGGCAAAATTGCTTAGAAATGGAAGATCAATCAAAAACATAAAATCATACAGTGGCGACTTTTAAGCCATTTTTCAGCAGAGACCTACAATACTCATTCCTCTTCATTCTGGGATCAGGCCAGGTATGATGAGCAGAGTAGGCTGACTTAGGATATGGAGTCCTCGATTCTTTTCCAGAGCTCAGGAAAATCCTCAGGAACCTGCTGTTAAGCCAACACCAATAGCACTACCCATGTATTTGAACAGAATATTTGGATTAGACCCCCAATGAGCTCAGCCAAATCAATTAGCATCTTTGCTATGTCTGATCTGTATTTGGTTCAGTAATACTTCTTATACATGGCATCAGGGAGTAATGATTAATAATCATAATGTGGTTTTGAAATTCTTAAATGAAAGCGGCTACATCAGTACAATGTCTAAATATTTTAATGAGTTTGTATTTTTTTGTCAGTGCCAGTATTTTGTATGTTGTAAACTCTTCAGCACAGCATGAAACTCCAATCCCATTAAATTTTATTGAGCAACTTAATAAAATGAGTTAAATTCCAAAAAGAAAACAAAACTGAAGTATGAGCATAAAGAACAGTTTTCTAAGCCCTGCTGTGGGTCCATGCAAGGGTGCCTGGGTGGGTATGGAGCTTTCCTTACTTCATTGGTGCAGGCTACCCCTTCTTGACACATAGGTGTTAGCCACAAAGAAATAACTACAGGAGAGCTTCTTATTTCCTGTGCAGCTTCTATTATAGCAGTAGTTTACGCTACCACAGGCAAACCTGCATTCGAAAGCACTCCACATACCCAAAGCCTGACTTGCAAAAGAGAGAAATCAAAGGCAAGCAATGTTAAGTGACTTTCTGGCTCCTCTGGTGAGGTTGCCAGAGGAATTGTCAGCAATCCCAGTCTGTGAATGGCTTTTGCCCTGAGAGTGTTTTGTGGCACAGAATTGGTCTGAGTCTACTGAGTCCACATTAAGCCATCTGTCAGTATGCCGAGCAAATTCAATAGGTTTGGGTCAGTAACCTACAGACAAATACAAGTAGTGCTCCCAAGTTCAAGTGCAATATTTACCTTTTAGGAAGACTCTGTATCTCCTTCTAAGATAAATGTGAACAAGTAACAAAAAAGGTGTTTCATAGGTACGAACATTTCCCAATTGGCTTTATTTTTAATACATAAACAATCTCTTCTCATTGTTGCTTCTCCTAACCTGTAAGATCACAGAATTTGTGGGCTTCTTTGCTCATAATGATATCCTGTGATACTTAGTGGCAGAAACAGCTAAAAATAGTGGAACTCTCCTCTGCTCAGCCCTCTAGGAAAATATTTTGATAAGCCCAGGCAGCAAGCAGGAAGGCTTAAAAAGGAAAGTAAGACATACCTCTCTGGATCTGAATAAAGCTTAGGAAAGCATGGCTAAGAAACAGACTACGCTCAAGCTTTTATTTTATATTAATCAATTTGCCTATCCAATGTAAAACACATGTCATAATCCATTCAGGTAATAAGAACAAGGAATAATCTCTTTCTGAGATCTTGCTGCTCCCTCTGCACTCACATATGGCAGGTGATCAGACTTGCTTTACATTTTGTTGCTCAGCAGTATACATCAGTAAGGCTGCCAGGGAGCTACTGTTTTTCCGTCTACCATTTCCACACCGAGACAGAATTATCTGGACACAAAACAATAACAAAAAAATCAATTTTATATGGAGTGTTTATAGGTGCCCAAAAAAAAGAATGTGCTGTGGCTCAGATTATCCAGATGCTCATGATTTTTGGGTGCCGTACCCTTAGGATGAATAATATAATAACTGTAAGGTGGAGGAAGGGGTTAGAAATTAGGGAGCTAATTTTCTGGGAGTAGGCACTATTCCAGGTTGTATTTCAAGTGTATTAACACCATCTAACTTCAGTATCTAGCTTAAGTGCTGTGCCCATTGGAAGTTTGGTGCCTACACTGTGGTAAAACTGTCAGTTTCTGATTATTTCTGCAAACCCTGTCCCACAGTTTGTGGTGTAGTAGTAAAAGTGAGAATGGACCCTTGCGTTGCAGCCCTTTGTATGTGTGGTGACAAAAACACGATAAGAATTTTTGTACTTTGATTATTTTTTGTAGTATTTTATTAGCAAATTCTCTTCTTGGAAATTTAGGACAACTTCCAGTGTCACAGGTGAAAGCTGAAAGGTCTTTACAAAATCATGGCTAACTATGTGCATGTTAGTTCTGTGAATCACTGGGGTTTGTTTCCATGCTTTATGCAGTGTTTAAATATTTATAAAAACAACAACAAAACAAATCCACACCAGACCAAACAAGTACAAGCTAATTCTCAGAGTGATTTAGCATGAGTACTGTGAGCAAGAGCACATCTGCAGGCTAGTGCCCTCATTTTTCAGGCCTGCCTTGAGAAAACTTACTGTTATATAACTCAGGGCAAAGCTGGATAATGGCTTACCCGTCAGGAAAACACAAAATATCTTTGCTTCTGTGAAGTTTTGGAAAGCTCCCCTTCCCTGTGTGTTTTATGTTCTGTTTCCTGAGGAGTTCAAGTAACCAGATACCATGCCATACCCTGGAATGTGATTGTGCCAATGTAGCAAGCAAATGGCTGTCAGACTGCAGGCACTGTATTCCTTATAACAACCAAAAAACCCTAACCCAAACAAACAAAAAACAGCCACCTGAACTCCTGAATTCTATCACAGTATTCTAGGACATTTTTCAAGATGACTGTTTTCCAACAGGCAGAACTGGAACACATTTTAAAAAAAAAACCAAGTCAGTATATTTTGGTCAAGGCTCAAGTAAACTTTGGTATTGCCCTGACACTGAGTCCTCTCCATAACATCAGTTGCATATATGCTTCTTCACCTGGATTCTTACCTGTCAAATGTGAAGCATACTTTCAAGGGGGTCACTCTAACACTTAGGGCTTTTTTAAGGCTAAAATATGTTTGCTAAATATTGCATGTTTAATAGGAAATTGAATACGAAGTGGTCTTAAAATACTTTTGACTGCATAGAAATAGCTAAGAGTTCCCAGTATAAGAGTATTCCTTAGGTCATGGTTATTATTTTGATCATGGTACATATGGAAAACTGATCATCATGTATTCACAAATGCTGTAATTCGCTGTAGCGTTTGTATGGGCCTGGTACACTCTGTGTTTGGTCAGACCACTCATCTGGGATTACATACCTTTTCTATAGTCTAGGTTGGTGTGGGAGAAGCATGCTTAACAGGCTGAGCAAAGTAAGGCGCTCCCTCAAGATTGCTCAGAGAAAAAAAGCATGTTCAGAAAAGGCCTGGAGTAAAAAAAGCAGAGCTCTAGCCTACCTTTCCAAGAATTCTTAATGTCAAGTGAAGCCTGGAACTAGAAAAACATTTTAGTACCAGCCACCCTGTTATATGCATAAAACTCGTATTTTACAGGGCATGAAATATTTTTGCCATATTTGTAGTAATTTTCTCTTGTTGATGCCAATTCAAATACATGCTTCCTCTTCTGATCTTTGTTACTTACTCCTGACTAGCTCCCTGTTCATAGCTTTCCTTCCCCCAGCCTGCAGTTCTCAGGAGCATCTCATTTTTTACTTTTTTTTCCTCTTGATATTTCACTGATAAGTTTTCCATAACATCTAGATAATTTTCAGGTTATTGGTTTCATCTGTTCTTTCTTTCTGGTCTGTAGTGACTTTTCATCATTTCCATTCATTTATTATGTTTTTTTCTGTTTTCTGGTTTTGCCTTGTGGAACCTGTATTTATGCTCTAACCTCTCTCCTTTAGTAGTTTTCTATGCTGTCTAAGGAACGTAGAGTCACAAGATAAAAGGGCACTTCTCTCTCATACATTCCTTTCCCAGGAGACCAGGATTATTCCCATCAGTGCAGGACCTAACTTGTTCCTTGTTGAGGTCAATTATATAACAAATTTTCAAGCCCAGTTTTCAATCCCTGAAAAAGAAAGAACAAATCTCATCTCAAGTATGATATTTTGGTAATGATCTAAAAATTGTTTGAGGTGGTCATCTCAGGTAATTAGTTGGTTAGTGGTAGATTAAGGGGGTAAAGGAAAATTAGTGGAAACTAAGGGATAATCTAGAGGAGTAATAGTCAAGAAAGCTGTTGACAAATAGCTGTCATTTCCTTCTTGTCCACATGGACAGCTTCTGATTTCATTAAGTTTTATTTGGAAGCTATTTTGCTACTGTGAAGATTTTGAAGCTGTTGTGCAAGTGTATTTTTATTTTAACCTACTGAAATGGGCAGCTCTGTGTCCCAAGCGAAAACCTGTGAGAATTCAGGTTCTGGAATTTATCCAGTTGCCCAATGTTAGTAATGGTGATGACTGAAGATACTCATATCTTCCTTTTGTGTTTCAGAATCATAGAATCACAAAATGGATAGGGTTGGAAAGGACCTTAATGCCACTGAGTTCCAACCCCCTGCAATGGGCCTCACAATGGGCACCACCTCATGCTAGACCATGTCACCCAAGGCTCTGTCCAACCTGCCCTTGAACACTACTGGAGATGGAGCATTCACAACTTCTTTGGGCAGCCTGTTCCAGTGCTTCACCATCCTCACAGTAAAGAACTTCTCCTTATATCTAACCTGAACTTCCCCTTATATCTAACCGGAACTTTCCCCTTTTAAGTTTGAACCCGTTACCCCTTGTTTTATCACTACAGTCCCTAATGAAGAGTCCCTCCCCAGCACCCTTGTAGGCCCCCTTCAGATACTGGAAGGCTGCTGTGAGGTCTCCGTGCAGCTGTCTCTTCTTCAGGCTGAACAGCCCCAACTTTCTTAGCCTGTCTTCATATAGGAGGTGCAATCTTACTCAGTTGTCACAAATCATCTGTATTTCTTGGAATTTCAGTTATCTGAAAACATGTAGTAATGTCAAAAGAATTCAGAATGACAGTGATTCCCTCTCCTTTCCATATGGCCTAGGAAACTGATGTTATAAGGGGTGGTGAAGGAAATTGCATTAGAAGTATGTAAGAGAGAAAGTACATGAAAAGGGAAAATATTACTTACGTTTAGAAGGAATGAAAAATCTCTCTGTACATCTCTCTGTGAAGTCATTACTGTAATGTCAGTATTACATGAAACATTTTCAGAACTGCAAGATTGTAATTTTATTGGCACCACTGCAAATGCACATAGAAGGACTCACTTGTAAAGGTTAGTTTCTTTTCTGGAAAATAGGCTACATGTGCAGATATTTTAAAGAGTGCTGACAGAAGCAGGTTGTTCCTTGAACCTTCATCTATAATATAGAAGTGGCAGATCCTGAAATAAGTGTAACAGTAGACAGAATGCTCTAATTTGTGCTGATTTTCTTCTCTTACTGAATTCAAGGAGAGATGAACATACTCAACTTTAAGATGAATCCTGGCATAGAGTTTACGGGGAGGAAAAAAATGCATTTCTCTCTGCTTTGTGTCACATTCTGTGGCAAGACTAGGGAGATGCTTAAGTATTAAGATGTTAATGGACATAAAGGATCAAAATTAATTAAAGGTAATTAAGGTAATTAATTAAGGTAATTAAAAAAATCCTTTTGTGTCTGCTTCTGATGCTAGGCACACATAAAAGTTTACTGATCGAACATCTCCCAAAATATGTGTTTTCTGAAGTATAACTTAAGACTGTGTTCGTGTTGACAGAGGTACTGCCCTTGAGAGGTGCTGAAAGCCCCTTGGACTTGAAGAATATCCTGAATTTCCACTGTCTTCAGTAGGAAAAGAAAATACTCAGCACCAGGTAGGAAGTAAAAGAGACCTGATTTACTGTACAAAAAATGAGAAATCCTGAGATATATCAAGGGGGCTTGCATTTCAAAATCTTGCAAGTCCTTATGAATTCAAAATGAAATTTCATTGTTCCTTAGGTAAAAACTCTCAGGAATATGCTTGTCATTAAGCCCTGATTTAAATATATTTTATGATGTGATTGTATTTGTATTAATTACTCTCTTGGTCTTATATATGTTCATGATGATGCAAATTATTCCTTTTAATTTCCCTACATATTTTAGTTTTATAGCCTACATTAGCAGAAGTGCAATGATAGGGCTATAGAGACCTAAAATTACTGAATTTTACTCTTTCTACTCTTTTCACCTTGTGTATGTGATACTGCTAATATTGCTGACATTTATAGTAATTATGGTGAATTGCACCACATATTGGAAAAACTCCAGTGCGGAAGCTTGCTGCATATCTGACCTGTTCCTAGTAAAGGATGTGGAATTGCACCAACATAAATACTGATACAAGTTCTTTCAAATAAGGGCATCTGACAGCAAATATTTCTTTTGTATGTGGACAGAAATACAGCTCAAGAGTGTGTTAGGATTTCTGAATCTAAGTTTTGCTGTGTGTTGTCAAGAATCATCTCTAACAAAGATGAAGTATGCACCAAGTATAAAGAGTTGCACCAAGCTTTAGCCTGAAAGGGAGTAGCAAAAAGTATATTCAAAGCACTGGCAATTGATCAGTTAATGACAAAACGTGTTTAGGTGTTAACAAAACCCTTTGGTTGTGGCCTAGCTAGGGTGCAGTTAATCCACCAGTAGTTCTATACTTCGTCTTACTGTGGAACCAAATTGCTGAGATCCCAAAGCAGAAGTGGGTGTCAGAAAGACAATTACATATGATTGAGACCACAATGTGGTAGAGTTAGCTGGAGAGAAAGCCCAGCAGTCTTAAGCTGATGCAGGAAATAAATGCATAACTTTATCTAACAAGTGGAAAAACTGATGTTTAAATTATTAATCTGAATGTATCAGGAAGATGTGGTAGTGTGGTAGCTCTGTAGTAGAGGATTGGAACTCGACACAGAGGTCCCAGGTGGTGTTGGCTGACCCCTTGAATTCTGCAAGCCATTTGGGAAGTCCATGTATCATGCTGGCTTGCAATGAGGTGGGAGGGCAGAGCAGGAGGAGAGGACACAGCAGAACTGAATTATGGTGTGTCAAAAGCTGAAGTCAGACACAGAGGCAGCAGAGCAAGCGGCTGTCTTGCATGGATAGAAATCAGTGATGGCTTTTTGTTGTTTGTCTGGGGGGTTTGGTTTGGTTTGGTTTGCTTTGGGTTTTTTTGCTTGCCAGCGTGAATACCAAATGTCAAAGACTGTGAATATAGAAGTAGTTGTCTATGGCCACTCATGAATATGTAAGCAAATAGTAGTTAAGGATAAATGCTTTAGACCTGAAAGTGAACTAGTGATTCTTTAGTTAGTCGTGATTCTTTGGTAAGTAGTTGATACTTTGCCTCTTCCCAGTAGAGACGGTGGAGGAAACGTCTGTCCTGCAACCTGACCTCTCTTCATATTCCTTCCACACAGTCTGTGAGAACAAAATGGGCCGAGCCTGTAAATGGAAAATCTGCTTTTGCATATCATCACTACTTGATAAAAGTAAACAAAGCCTGTTCTCACTTCATTATTGCTACAAAAGGCTTATGGCTATTTTCTGTATGACAGAGTTTGCAGTGTACATGCATAAAAACCTAGCACCCATTTTTGAAATGCAGGTAATAAGAAACAACTTTCTTTATTTGTGTCCTTAAGTCTCTAAGACACTTCATGAAGAGTCTCCAGTAAACTGATTCACAGTAGCATAACAGCAACCTTCCTTTGAGCCCCTCAGGAAACTGAGAACTTCACTGACAGTAATGAATAGTATTGTTTCCTATGGGCTGACATCTCTTCCTGAGAGATCACTGCCTCTAGGAGTGTTCTCTAGGTTTTCCAGGCAAACTCTCTTCCACACAATATGTGGTTACTGAAAGCTGTCCTCAGATGGTCTGTGGAATTTCCCAGGCAGCCATCCCTGAAACTGAACTGGGATTAGGGAACAGCTAATTTAAGAGCTCATCTACTGTGTAAAATAAATTCAGTTCTGTCCCCAGTGTTTCCAATTTTAACTTTTACACTCAAGTGGTATAAATTATTGTCCTTACCAGCTGAGTCTGCTGTCATGCACCTTCCTGGTGCTTAAGAAAATAAAATAAAAAAGTAGTAGAGAGCCATCACAGAACAACAGGAAAATGTTTCTCAGAGCTCCACAGGCGTGAAAGCACAGCATACCCCGTCCTGCCCAGGCAGCAACGGATCTAGATGATGAGGAACATGTCCTTGGCATTGGATCTAGGCTGCTTTAAATGTAATGGTAGCTGGCCAGTAGCTGTGACCAGCACTAAAACTGCAGCTCTGACCAGCTCAGAAGTTACAGAGACAAAGCGGTGAGCTAGGGGTTTGAATAAGGTGTATCAAGTCACCCTTTTGGTTAAAAGTTGGGTCAGCACAAGCTGTAGCACTTGGACACTGCTACAAGGTGATTAACCTCTATGCTGCCTGAATGAGAAGCGAGCAACTGTGTTTATATTTGCACCTGATTACACCACAAGGCAAAATGCAGGACAGGCCTCCTTCACACCCTCTCCCCTTGCCTATACTTCTCAAAGGCCAGATGTGGCCAATCTTTTCTTTATGTAGGATGAATCTGGAGGGTAGCTAAATAGAGCTGGAGGTCTGGAGTTCTGCTGCCCCATTCCTGCCATGGGCTGATGGGAATGTAAACAAGGGTGGGAAGGAGAGAGCTTCTGTCAGCCACGAATCTATTCTCAGGAAGATGGGAAACCCGGGAGCCAAAAATATTACAGCATTGTCTTTTGGAATTGACCGAGCATGTGCGAAATCACTATCTTAATGATAAACAGTGCTAAAAACATTGGCACAACATGAATCCAGCCTCTGCAACAAAGGGGTTTGGGTTTTGTTTGTTGGGTTGTGTTTTTTTTAATAATTGAAAAAGCAGCTCATATCACATATTTCTTTATCACATCTTTAAAGACTGTTATCCTGCACCCCTCTCTGGATTGCTGTATGCTGAAAGAAATTACTCTTAGAACTATTTTCTGTAGAACTGTAGTAGACATGAATACCAAACAACTTCACAAACCACTAAATATTTGGCAACCTTCTAGTCTACTGTAATTTTTAAAAAATGCTCAAGACAAATGTTTATGTTGAAGGGGGGGGGGGGAATCCTGAGGATAGAGCTGTCAGTTAATGGATAATTTCAGCTTCCTTATATAACCCTGTTCTATAAGCCATACTTCATAAAGAGTGAATACTCTTCTAATCAAACTTTCCTCAAACCTTAAAAAATACTTAATTGTGTATGGATGCTGCTCTGGCTTTTCTGGCATGTTACATACAGGATGTCTGGCCAGTTCTCTAGTCTTCTCTCAGATATCTTACTGATCCAAAATATTTTCACCAGACACCCTGAAATGGAATCACAAGTTTGCCAATTTCCATTTCATGCATCTTCCTCAGAAAACTGAAAATTACAGCTCATGAGCACTGACGATTTGATTGCTCAACATCCAAACTTAACTCACTGGAACAAAATAACAACAAAGATCCAGATGATGATGACTGGCCTCTGTGAGACAAAATTGCTTGCAAAAAAAAGGAAAAAAAAAAAGAAATTTAAAAAAAAGTTACATTATTTCCAGCTCAGAATTTAGGCTATGAGGGAATTGGTGCTCTTAAACCACTGATAAAGTACAGGTCAACAGTTACTAGTAGGCCTTCATCAGCAAGATTATTACATTATTACACTGACATTTCCCTGAATCTGCCCAGGTCTCCAAAGCAGAAAAACAATTCTTGGTGTCTTTACACTGTGTAATTTTCAATTTTTTCAATTCTCTGAGCTCCAAGTCAGCACTTTTCTGAGAAACATATATGTCAGAAGAACAGTTCTCAACAAATGTCTCATATTCTGATTTCCTTGGATTTTACAGCAAGATTTCAAATGCTGTTGAAACTGCCAAAAAAGAAAAATGTGTTACAGTATTACAGATGATAGTATAGTCCAGCCTGAGTTTTTAACTTCTAACCAGTGCTGAGAGCTTTAGCAATCTTATTTTACTAAGCCAGGAATTCTAGGCAGAACTTTATTAAAATACGGCTGAATGACCTGTTACGGGAACCAGGCTCTGCAAGGGAATGTTTGTAAGTTTGGCAATGTAATGGTCCTGCAAGTTGGTTCATTGTTCACTAAAGCTGTAGCCTGCGACTTGAACATCTTGTCCTCTGGAAAGGGATAATCTTACCTAGATGCCAAATAAGGTGTGAGGTCCTCATATTGAAAGGATCTGCTCTGGGTCAAGTAAAAGTCTTAAATTCCTTACCTATTATCCTCTCTTCCCAAATTCATTCAAGACAAATGCTGATCCACCACCCCAGCCAATGGTTTCTAAGAAGCTTGTCCTTATTCATTCCAAGATGGGGCTACATGTTCAGGCCTCTTCTTTTCCTTCCAGAAAATCTTCTGGATGGAAGGAATATGGAAAATGGGAGAGATCTGTGGCTTTAGTAGTAAACCACACAGGATATATGATGCTATGGTAATCTGACTCTGTATGATAAAGATCCAGTTGATGTGATATTGCTAGAAGCACTCCAGGAAGCTGGTAAAGATTATAGCTAGGCCAGGTCCATTACTCCGAATAAGATTGCTCAGAATTACAGGATATTTAGAATTGAAGCCCAAGGAGGGACTGTTTTAGGAACGATTTCAGGTTTGTAGAACTGGAGAGTGAAGTGATAACCACATACAAGAATACCACATTGTAACTAAAGCCCAGAACTTCCTCAATTTCAGACTTTGGCTGACATCTTTTGTCCAAACTGATGCTTTGACTTGGAAGGTGCTGCAAATCCCCATGTAACTGTAGTCAGTGAGA